TGTGGTGTAAAAAACGTACAACATCTGGTCACATTGTGTCCATGTTGTGAATTAGAGCTAGGCTGTGCTTCATAAGTACAGGCTTGTTAATTAAACTTCCTGCAGAGCGGGCATGCCTGCTCAGCCTCTACAGATGGCAATTATAACCTGGTGGACTTTGAGCTCTGGCTTGAAGGAGAGTGTAGAATGTCAGACAGTTGTAACACAAGCTAATAACCTGCAAATTGATGCTTCTCAGGTGTAAAAGAAAGAGATCAACCGATACAACGAGTGGTTTTCCTATACAAAGAGTGGCATAATTTCATCTAACCAATTAGTAGTGGCCTGTACCAATGTAGCAAACTTCAGTGTTATCCCAGAGTTCATGAAAGTCAGTTTTAGATAGGGCATTATTTGACTCAATGACCTATGTAAAATGGGAGACTTACTTCCTTCTACATTAAAGTTGTGGAAACCACCCTTCTGAACCTACCATCACATTGAAGGTAGAAGCAAAGTCGGGTATTGGCTGATCAGTCTTGGACCTTCATAAGAAAGACCTCCTGAAACTACAAATGACAAATGAAAAAAAGCTCAAAGAAGAATTGGAACACTGCCAATGGACCCTCAGTTACTCACACAGGATTAAGCCTGGAGGAAAGCTGTCAAGTGTTGCAATGGTGTAAGAATCTGTATAGTGGATGCCATCCCTGAAGGAAAAACATTTACTAGACCTAGTAAGTCAAGAAGACTTAACTCAATTACATCATTAATCTTCAGTTTAAAGGCATATTTCATTGTCATTTGAATGTTTTTTTCAACTTTTAAAGACAATTAAAAATTAAAATGAGGCTCTGAGGCAAGGACATTGCATTTGGTTAAATGCCTGTTGCCTTGACTCCTCTCTCCTCAAGGGACTAAGACACTAATTTAAGAAGAGGAATTGAGGAGGCGCAGGCTGAGAAACAAGAAAGAGGGACACAGTGATGAAACACAAGAAAAGGGAACAGAAGGGCAAGGAAAATTATTTCAAATTATTTCACGCTGAGGAAGTGGAGGAAACCTATCTGTAAATAGATGTACTGAGTGACAGACGAACTTTAGGAGAGAAAGCTTTTTGCAGGGGAGCATGTGACAAGCTCATTTTGCCACTTGACTGGTTTGGCTTCTATAGCTGTCAGACTGTTTGTATATCATTCAGGATGTAAGAAGAAGGCAATTTTTACTAAGTCAAAATAAGTAGGTATAGAAGATGAAAAACATAGACCTGATGAATAGGTACTAACCTAAAACTACCAGCTGTTCAGCTGGGGATAAGTGCGCCATAATCAAACCAAACAATCAAACCAAATGAAAGACACGTTGAGTGTCTGAAAGGCACCGGCCTTCCAGGAGGAGAAAGACAGAGAGGTGACATCATCTCCTCTGACATGGGATCTAAAATAAAATATCTAAAATACTATAGTTCATATAGTCGCTTGATGTTTTTCTTAGTGTTGTACATTTATTTGTTATTTCTGTCATAAAACATGTTGCTGGCATCAAATTCTACATTTGAACATGTCACAGTTTCTCTAGCCAAAGAGCATCCTGAGCTGACAACCTCCAGTCAATCTAGATCTCAATTTGATTATCTTAATTCAGTGAGGTCATTTTATGTGCTTTGCTGCTGATACAAATTCAATAAAAGCTTTGAGGAAAAATAGAAGGGAACTTTGCATGTCAAGCAAAAGTAAACTTTACAGATGTACAGCTGAGAGTGTCATCACTACCTCAATTACAGCATGGCTTGAAAGCTGCATTGTGTAGGACAAAAAGGCTCTCCAGCGTACACATTGCATCTCAGTAGCAGGCTTCCCTTCATTACAGGATATTTACACCACCAGGGTTGTGACGAGGGCCCACGGCACCATTAAGGACAATAAACACTCTTAACATGGCCTGTTCACACTTCTGGCCTTGAGTAGAAGCTAAAAGACTCTTAAATAGCTTTTCCCCACAGGCCATGAGTAAGACACTGAGCAGTGCTCCTATCCCACCACATCACTACTGTTCACTGTTAGTGCACTATTATTATCGGCTATTTGCTGATTATCTGTTTGCAAAATTGCACACAGGCATAAGTAATCAGGCTCAGGTCTTTCAAGCCCAGGTCTTTTAATGAATTTCATTATCATTATTATTATTATTATTTCCACCTTTTGTATTTTTCTCTTCTTATTTTTATTTTTATTAGAATTTGTATACATTTTGTGTATTAAGAGAGACTGGCAAAATAAGAATTTAATTGTACTTTGTAAATTGTAGTGTTTATTTCCACTTACAATAAAACCTGGACTTAATATAAGCATTAATATAAGCACTTCTTCAGTAGAAGCATTGCTATCGCTATATAAAAAAAAATTGAATTGTGTTGAATTGAATTGAATTGAATTGAATTAAAACTAAATGTAATACAAAACTGAATCCATGGCTGAATTGAAGGATAAGACAGTGTCATCTAACACAGAAGGCCACTAAGATACAGTATGTGATGAATCTTTATGCTGCAGGGAAACTGAATCCAGCATATCTAAGCGTTGCAAAGATTCATATGTGTAAATAAAACTGTTATTGCTGCACTGACAAAAGTGGAAGCAGCAAGTCTCTATAATGGCACAAAACAAAGACAAGACTTGACTCTTAAGACTTATTTATTCCCCTGTTGCTGAATGTGAGGTGGAGAAAAAAGAGAGCCAGTCATCAATTAAAATTGCTAAGTGTTCCTAATTCAATCTCAGAGCCCTGGGCCATAGCCATACGTGAAAGGTTTGGTGGCTTTTTGCCTTTATATGTTTTATTTGACCATTTTTAATTAAATCTAAGATTTAAGTCATTTCCAGTTTCACAAGTGAATTCAGTTTATATTTAAATTTTACACATCTCTCCTTGGAAACAGTTTTCTTTTTACTTCATGTTCCTGTCTCCCACTGGAATCAGCTCTCACCAAAATCTTATTAATTATTTTATAGCCAGCAGCAGGTCTGCTCATTAAATCTGATGTAAATTACTGAATTTTGAACGAAACTCTGCTCACAGCTGAACTAATAAATCCAAAAAACATTAGAATGGGAAGCTGCAAAAAACAAGATATTTTCTAGATTTCAGTTCAATTCAATTTTATTTATACAGCACTAAATCACAACATTAGTCACCTCAAGGTGCTTTATATTGTAAGGTAGACCCTATAATAGTACATACAGACCCTATAAGTATTATTGTGCTTGCTATTTACTTGATATTGCTTAGTAAATGGGTCTGTGAATAACAAGCAATGCCCACTGTTCATCTATTCTTCTTTGGTCTCAGAGCTGTGTATTTGAGATAATGAAGCAGATTAGAAAAACAACAAAACAACAACAACAACAACAACAACAAAAAAACGGCTATCGCCTGCCGTCAAAATGCACACAAACAGTCATGCCTGTGATGTTCCTGGGGACTAGAATAATGTTTAATTAAAAAAATTATGCCATAAAGAGATTGTACATTTGGCTGAGGTACTGAGTCAGAGGCATTACTGTAAGTAGTGCAGGAGATTTAACCTGACATTCAGTCTGTGGTCATTAGGTGGGCTGTCTCCACAGACCTTTCAGGGAAAGAAGACACATACCTGCACATACGAGCTGAGCTTGTTCAGTGCAAGGATATCATTTGTACCATTTCTTCATTATTTAAACATGAGGTTATATTATCATCATACTTATGCAATGTATCATGATGGGGCGATCGTGGCTCAAGAGTTGGCAAGTCGTCTTGTAATCGGAAGGTTGCCAGTTCGAGCTCCGGCTTGGACAGTCTTGATCATTGTGTCCTTGGGCGAGACACTTCACCCGTTGCCTACTGGTGGTGGTCAGAGGGCCCGGTGGCACCAGTGTCCGGCAGCCTCGCCTCTGTCAGTGCGCCCCAGGGTGGCTGTGGCTACAATGTAGCTTGCCATCACCTGTGTGTGAATGGGTGGATGACTGGATGTGTAAAGCGCTTTGGGGTCCTTAGGGACTAGTAAAGCGCTATACAAATACAGGCCACTTACCTGTGCAGAGTATGGAAATACAGATCTTGTGGCAGTTTTTCAGGTGTGGCATGAAGGTTGTTAAAATCTGACCAAACTTTAGATAAGTGTTAATCTACAAGATTGTAAAGACTCTAGTTGATGGGGTTCTCATAGCCTGCTTAAAAGTACAGATTTTTCTCCATAATGTCCATAAACTAATAGGTTTACGGTTGTCAGAGTCTCTCTTTGCTCCTCTTTTCTGTCTTCTTGTTACCCTCATGGCAAATGGCAGACCTACAAACCTGGTTCTTTTAGACCTCTCGTTCTGCTTTAAGGAAGTTTTTCTTCCCAACTGTCACCATGTCTTTGCTTGCAAAGGATCATCTGCTCATTAAGGTAATATTGTGGAGTCTTGTCCTTATAAGTGGCTTGAAACAACTGGTGTTGTGAACTATCCATCCATACATTCTGCTCCACTTATGCAACTTATCCAATTCAGGGTCATAGACTTGAGCCTATACCAGGTAACATAGGACAGGAGGTAGGGTATACCCTGGACAGGTTCCCAGTCTGTAGCAGGGCTAATACGGAGAGACAAACAACCATACACACTCACATTCACACCTATGGGCAATTTAAAATTACCAGTTAATTTAAACCGAATAACTGCATGACAGGGTACGAAGGAGGAACCCACGCAAACACAGGGAGAACATGCAAACTCCGCACAGATGGTGGATTCTAACCCAGGACCGTCTTGCTGTGAGGCAGCAGTACTAATCACCGCACTACTGTGCTGCCTCCTGTTGTGAACAAGTGCTTTATAAATATAACTGAGTGTAATTAGTGTGTCTGAGTATCAACAACAGACACTCTGTCTCTGTTTTTAATCACAATCTTTTATTCAAAAGAAGCCCAAAAACACATAGCAATGACACATCTGAACAGCTATAAATATCAGTTGAAATATACATCACATTTGCTGTATTTGCATGTAAAAGCCTTTTTAATCAGCCTTGGGTTTTTTTTTTGTTATTCCATTGCTTCTATTAGTTTACATTATTCATTGCCTCCACTCCATTACACTCACACTCTTTGTGCCACTAATATGAACAATCCATCAGCGAGATTGTCTACTAGTGTAAACTAATCCCATTACTGTGAGTTATTTTATTGTATTACAGTATTCAATTGCATTAATGAATATTCTCAACAATATACTGATTTTCAGTCACTGGTTGTTGGCTTTATAGACATGGCAGCCAGAAAATGTATAAACAATACGTACATAATAATACATCAATACTTTAGACATACTACCACTAAAGGAGAAGCTGTGCTCAAACTTGTTCTTTAAAGTTTGCTTTAAGCATTTAAATTGTACCTAAGATGTTTTAAATTGTACCTAAGATGATCTAGATGTTTTAGAATGAAATGTAGGTGGTGCAATTGCAAAGGCCAAAGGCACAGTGTCTCCTGTCTCATCTGATTTACTCTAGCATTTATTTTACACCCAATAGCGCTGGTAACAACATATGCTGCTACATCGCAACTCTTGCAAAGACAAAAATAAATACATACACTGGGTAGAGCAAAGTAAAACAGGCACAAATAACCAGACTGTTACATGGAATGGCTCTGTTTACATGCTAACCTATTATTCTGTGCCCAGATTCCTGACTTCAGAGAATCAGTTCCTATTAAAAGGGCTTAAAACAAATGTGGAACAGACTTTTATACCTTCTCCTTACTATCAGATCAGCTGTGTCAAATCCAGAAGCTTTTAAAAACCCACTTGTACAGACTGACATTTGCATAATGTGTTGAAAGGTCTTTTTTAATGTTTAAATGTGTCCCTTTCTTGTGAATAATATTGCTATTTTTGTCTTTTTCTCTTGAGTATTTTTTATTTTTCTTTTTGGTAATTTTTGCAAAACACCTTGTATCGCCAGTTCATCAAATAAAGTTTATCTTTACTGTGCACACACATCACATGAACACAAAAACAAATGCAAGAAGCATATATCGAAAAATGTCAGGCGTTTTAGCTTTAAGGGGGGCTACATGTTTACAGAGAAGCATAGAGCTGCCAAAGCATCACATTTACTTTGAGAAAAGACAAGCAAGCCATTTTTCGTTTTGTTTCCCTTTTCTTTTAAACTTATCAATACGCAAATGAGATCACAAAAGACTTTTACGCAAAGCAAATACAGATGTCGGATTCAATCATCACAATTTATCCACTTAAGTAAGAAAGCAGAAATAAGCAGCAGTTGGAAATGAGAAAATATGATGAATTACTGCGCTGTTTGATTAAAGCTGTTGTAGAGAGGACCCTATAATGCCCAAATAAACCCCTCATATTTGCTACCTGCAGGAAATTACATCCACCGAATGAAATAAGTCCTAAGAGGCTTTTTGGTTCTGATAGGTAAATACATTCTTCAGTGTTACATGACCAACATAAAATGAAAGGAGTAAGGTGTAAATGTTTATTTTAGGAGCTGTGTTGATTATAGCTGGAAAGGCACTTATGTCAGGCTGCTGAAATGAACAAAATTGGTCTTGATAAACAAAAATGTTGTGATTTTTTTTTTCCACCAATGTGCTATAATGGATGTAGAATGAGTGTGTGTGGTAGTAATAAAATAGTTGACAAAAAGGCAGAAAAGCATTGATTTTGCCACTTTGATCACTTAATCCAACTTCCTCCTCTGTAGTCTTAAAATATGTTTTTCTTTCTCAGTTCATCTGTGAGTTTCTCTGCTACTGTTCATGTGGCCCTAATTATCCAGAGGAGGAGCTAGTGGTCAGGGGAGTGACTGTGGGAGGTTCAGCTGCAGTTACAACAGAGTTTAGCATCGAGGCTGCTGTCGTAGTGGCCGGTCCGGTTCCTGGGTAAGTGGACTGAAACTTACATGCAGGGGTGGAGCGGTGCAGGTCTGCTGCAGTGTGAGTCATTGGTGAGCCCGGCGGGTGAGGTGAGATCTTCAGAGAGAAGAAGAACAAAAGAAAGAGCAAGATAGGAACATGAAAAAGGGGAAGACAATAGAGAAATTCCAAAAAAAAAAAGAGGCATGACATGAATGCACTCAGTGGATGTTAGATCTCAAGCAACACAGACCAATTTTTTTTATTTATTTATTTTTTATTTTGTTTTTATTTTATTTTTATTTTGTCTCCGTCTATTTTCCTTTCATACCTATTAGTCTCATGTTTTCTCCTCTTTTGGATCAAAGGGACCTACACGAAGCGCATCCATAATTTCTGTGACTTTTGGAGAAAGTTGGCATTATATAACCTTGAAAAGGTGATTAAGCACTGGAAGAGCCTCATCAGAGCCACTCTGTTGTCTAATGCACCTCACTGCTGTTGTACTATTTATCTAAATGGACACCATGAAGCGCCACACTGCACAGACTGAGTCAGAGCTTTTTCTTCCCTCTTTCCCTCCTCTAAACCTAATCACTTTCGCTGGCACTTTCAGGATTTTTTCTAATCATTGCCTCTGCAGCAGCATTAATTTACAAACCTTCAATTAGCTGCTCTCACACATAAATGCACACACCTGCCTGTTGATTAATACAGAAGTGACGCACTTATGATGCAGAGAGTTGCAATTTGTTTTGCGTCTGTATCTGTATTTCTGTATGTCTAATTAGAGGGATCTGGTTATAGCCAAACCCATCTCCACTGTTCTTATAATATTATTGAAACAAAAATAACACATGCCTTTCTTTTGATCTAGTGCTGCACTAAATTGATTTAAATCTCTGTTCTTTTTTATTTTTCCAAATCCCTTTAATTCCCATTATGCAATACATACTATCACCTCAGCTCCACATGAGCACACACACTGGTTACCTGGCTGCTCTGGGGATCGTGATAGACCTGGTTACGCGGGGACAGCAGGATGCAGTCTTGTGCTGTGGTTTTCTCAGTGCGCGGGGCACTGGGGTCACCATCATCTACACCATTGGCAACGCACCTCATGGTCCTCACACACAGCACCTGAAGGGTCATGACAATATTAGTGCTGTTATTATCTTTAGAGGGTTGATACACATCAGCCTTTTCTGCAACTTAACATACTGTTGAAGGTGTACGGACTAGAAAATAACAGTATTCTGGATCCAGGTTTGTTTTTTCAGAAAAAAAGGATTGTAATACACTTGAAATAAAAATGTTGCACTCTATAACCAGAACAATAATACTGCTAAAGATGAGTCTCAACCATAGGGGTAAAACAATCCTAGATAGCAGCACTGGATGGTACAGGTTCTCATAAATGAACCAAAAAGTGAAACCATATCACTGATTTTTTTTTTCTACTTACACATATTGCACTTAAACATATTTATTCATGTTTTCTGTAGCTTCATGGCTTCACTGTTTAATAACTGTGGGAGACAGAGTTTAACTAATCCTGCAACAAAACATTTTAACAACATGGTCACATGATGAACATGGTCACATAATTTGTAGTCTAGGCTTCCGAGGCAGTGAGAAAGAGAATTGCAATAAGCAAGGTAATAGTGAAAAACAACAACAACATTTCCTCAGTGGCAGCAACTGTTAGGAAACAGAGAGACAATAAAGCAGGACAGTAAACCTCTTCTTGTGCATACAGGTGTCCATACCAACTCCAGACACAGACACGCAGTAGGGAGTGTCAAACTAAGCCTTTATCCTTTTCCAAGCCCAAAGGAATGAGAACAAAGTGAAAACACTGATATTAAACCAAATTATTTTCTTATTTTATTTTCTAAATTAAAGCAATACTTTTATTAATAACGTTGTTATTTTGTGCTGATAGCCTGAACCATCAAACTCATTCTAGTTATGTGAAATTAGTCATGTATATTCTTTAATTTCTTTAAGGTTTTAGAGGAGGGGTGTATAATAATCATAGCTGACAGGCATGTGTCTGTCAAGTTGCTCGTTTTCTGCTTTTTCTTTTGTGTTTCTGTGTTCACCCAGCTGTGTGAGTTTATTCTTCACTGCTTTATTTTCTTGACATTTTCTGAATAACTTCCTTTTTAAATTTGAAGGTTAGCTCTTTTATTCCTTTTCACACACTCAGTATTGTTTTGATCTTAATACGGTTCACCTCTGTCTTATCGTCACTTTCTCCTGCATGTATAAATTAAGTCTGTTTTGCTTCACACTTTTTCAAGTTGTTGTTTTTTCTCCCTTAGCTCCCAGGGATTTCTATGTGTTGCTGATTGGCATTTTTGTCTTTTAATTTCGTCTTTTAATTTAGTTAGTTAGTGATTTTTTTTTCTCCTGTCATCACTCTGGCATGTTCTTGTCTGCACTTGGATCAGCTTTGGGAAATGTATTGACAATATGACAGCATCCAAAAAATGACAAAAAATCATATTGTAGATTTATTTATTGCTGAACTCTAATTTATTTGATATTTTGACTTTAACTTTGATATATATATTTTTCTGATGATAGACATTTATCAGGACATCTAAACTGGATACCACATTACAGCTTTGCTCCACACTGATGGTTGCTGAAAAAACTATTTTATTAAAAAAATAAAAATTTTTAAATGATTGTTTTTCACAAAATGTGGGAAAAACATTTCTTATGAATTTAATGACATTTAAATTAAAGGCAAACATCTTTTTTCTTTAAAAGAATGTGGCCATGTTTTAGTAACCACAGTTTTGAGCAGCGTTGAACGGGTACCTGCTGTGATTGGTAGATGAAAAATTATATGAAAACATAATTTAAAGTAAAATGAAGCTGCAATAGATAGAGCCCTAAACTATGATTATATTCCTATTCTTATACAGCACTGATGAAGCAGTGGGTCAAACTGATGCAGTTTGTAGAAATTGATGTTACCTTCAAAAAATCACTGCTCACAACAGTTCAACAGTTAACAAACACAATGAGTTGAGATCAGATAAACAAGATGTAAGATGCTAATTAGCGGGCTTTAACAGCACTGCTATGGTGAGAAGAAATTCAACGTACTTTCCTGAAGCTCTGTTTAAAGTTGTCTGATAGGAAACCATAGAGAAACGGATTGGCACATGAGTTGGCATAAGACAAGATGACAGCAAAGAAGTAGATGCCAGCAGTGGCACTGGACTCCGGGATGATGACCACCAGATTGACCATATTGATGATGAAGAACGGCAGCCAGCAGAGCACAAACACCACCACAATCACCACCACCATTCGGGTCACTTTGCGCTCTGAGCGTCGGCGCTTAGAGAAACCAACCCGTGCTCCAGAGGACTTCACCTGCAAAATAACAATAAAAAGATTTGAATTATAATGACGAGGATGGAAATTCTGCCTTTCTGTTGACTGAGAAAAGAATATCAACTTAAAAATTTGCTTTTTAATCAGCTTCATGAAATATCTACCTTGATGACAATAAGAAGGTAACAGAGGCAAATGATGAGCAGTGGTCCAAAGAAACCCACTGTGGCAGTGTAGAGAATGAAGGCTGTTGACCACACATCCTTCGGCTCTGGCCAGATCATGTTGCAGGAGTTAAATGTATCCTAAAGAAAAATGAATATTGAACAAATAAAGTAAATTCAGAATTGAATCGGAATCTGTCAGACAGTCAACAACAAAATCTGGAAGTTAATCCACTGCTTTCCATCACATCCCTTAATTTTAAATGTCATCATCTTCATCTTCTACTTCTTCTTGTTCATCCTCCTCCTCCTTTAGGGGTCACTACAGCAAATCACCTGCCCACATTTCACCCTATTCCTCTCACATCCTCTTCTGTTATGCCAACCCTCTGCATGTTCTCCTTCACTGTATCCATGAATCTTGTCTTTTGGTCTTCGTCTTTTCTTCCTGCATGACTGCTACCTGTTTAACATCCTTTGTCCGATATATCCACTATCCCTCCTTTGCACATACCAAGCCATTTCAGCTTTGTCTGTCTTTGAGCTTAACAATGTCTGCTCATTTAAATTGTTGTTGCAGAAACACTTTTCTTTTTCATAAACTTTACACAAGTGCATCTTTGCAAATACACTTGTATTCATGTCTGTGGAATAAACGGCTTCCATGTCAGCTGGCATTTAGTTAGTGTTTTATTTCACATTGTATCATCAAATGAAGGCACTTTTGACTGCCCATTTTCAGCACTTAGACCTAGCATCACACTTTCGGTGTGGTGGTACCACTTGACTAGCATTTGACTTGGCTGTCTTGTCTCACTGGATACTTTACCAGACCATAAACAAATGTTCTTTGTGCCTTCAGTTAATATTGATTGAAGTAGGAAAAGATTCTCTCGGAAAGGAGGTTAAGTTGGGACGTGGCTCTTTAGCTTGCATGGAACCAAATGTGCATTAGCCAGATTCTCATGACAGATAACACATGTAGACTGTTGACACCATTGATTCAGCTGAAGCAGTAAGACATCTTACATTTGAGATATTATGTGGTGGTTTGGACCATACTGGAAAGGAATTAGTTTTCTTATTTGTTGACCTCCACGCTTTCAGGGCATACTTAGACTGTAATGCTTCTCATTATCTGGTAATCCATCCAAGGTGCACCGACAGACACGTTTGTTCAAAGAATTTTTAGGATATTATATTTACCTCTCAGTGAGTGTACAGAAAAGATTGACATGATAATATAACAACTCATTCAACTTGAAGTGCAGTTGTATATTGCATAATCATAATATATGGTTTTGAAAAAATATGATGGACTTGTCTCATGTTGCACTGGTCGCACTATTTGGGAACCACTTGATTTGAGTACCTCCATCAAATTCCTGCTTTTTTTCTTTGTTTTGTTATACTGCAATTAGAATAATTGCTAAAGCAAAATGCATTGCTCTGCATTATGTGAATGAATATCCATTCTCATCCTTCTTGATCTTAGTGCGGCGTTTGATACCATTTCTCACAATATTCTCCTGAACCGGTTAGCTTCCATTGGTATTAGTCACACCCCTCTTGCCTGGTTTACCTCCTATCTCTCAGACCGCACTCAGTTTATCCAACTTAAATCCCATTCTTCAACTCTCTATCCTGTTTCTGCTGGTGTGCCCCAGGGTTCAGTATTGGGGCCTCTTTTATTCATTATTTATATGCTTCCTCTTGGTTATATATTCCGAAAATATAATATAAATTTTCACTATTATGCCGATGACACCCAGCTCTACCTTTCTTCTAAACCCAATTCATCCCTCCC